CTGCATCATGTCTAATAAAGGTGCCTAGCTACTCTACAATCTATGTGGGCTTTTATTTCAATCTTGGAAAAAAACACCAAGGATATGGAACACTCAGTCCAGACATCAACCCTGACCAAACACTAGACCAAGGAAAGAGGTCACTCAGCAGAATTTACAGCCTTTGTAGCGGTAACTAACCCATGACACTAAAGGAGGGAGCTGGGCCAATAGCTCTGATCTTACTCTGTTGCTTTCCTGGGTCCAAACCAACTCCAAGCCCAAGAGAACTCTCCTGGACCCCATGAAGAGGTAGATACTTTCATCTGACTTTTCATCTGACCACACACTGCATGTCCAACAACTCCAAGCCCAAGAGAACTCTCCTGGACCCCATGAAGAGGTAGATACTTGGCACGTGATGAAAATGTCCCCATTGACTTTTCATCTGACCACACACTGCATGTCCAGGGACCAGCAGGCAGAGAACTTCCTACTATCGCTGGGGCTTCAGCTCAGCTCAGCCCACTGTTGATGTGACCCACTTAACTGCCACCCTCCTGTCTTGTTCATCCACCTGAACCTCTATCTGCTCTCGGCCTTTAACTGGGTCCTGTCAGCCTGTGACCCTCAGGCTGCCGGTGCTGCTTCAGCATCTTCCCCGAATCAACCTCCTACGTGCATGTTTGGGTACATCAAACTAAAATGAGAGCCAATTACCATTTTTATGCATATTACAACAAAGTTCATGCGATAACTACTTGAATTATGATATCTCAAAGCTAGGAGGAATAAAATACACCTGGCTGTACAAATTATGCTCAACAATAAACCAACCTGTCAGAGAAAACAAGAAAACAAAAGAAAAACCTGTGATCTGACAAACATTTAATTTTAGGAACGCAGTACAAAGATCAACGCACTCCTCTGTGACGTGATGCGCTGGGCTGGGAACGCCTGGCATCTGTCTCGGTATCTTGCTCACAGATGTGACAGGGCTACAGTGCTGGCTGGCTGGCTGGCAGTGCTGCTCTTCTCTGCTCTCAGGCTCTCTTTGGGCTTGGAATAATCCCAGGGTCTTCTGTTTTCTGTGAACCCATACAGTTTCCTCAGTGCTACTCGAGCAGCTTCTTCCTCTGCGACCATGACCGTTTCCCCAGGACCCTCTGCAATCAGCTTTTTGTCACTAGAAAGGAGACAGACAGTAGTCTCGAATGACATGAAGACAGCACACAAAGACATTAAGCCTTCTAAATCTTACTTTGCTGATAAATAGCTCCAGATAGAACTTCCAGATCTAAGTCCTGCCACAGTTCATTTGATGTAATAGATGAAGAAACACTCACATTTCCATAGAAATACACACAACTTACTAGCCCAGTATTTTTCAAGCCCCAAAACAAAATGTTGGCAGAAGGATCAGGAGTTGAGGCCAGCGTTAGGCACATGAGACCGCATCTCAAGCAATCAAACAAGCAAAAACTAAATGTGCCTTTGCATTTGTCATCCAACCATCACCAAAGGGTATCACTCTATTTTAAATTATTTTATTTTTACACATGGTCTAGCCTTGCAGCTCCTGCTGGCCTGATTTCAGGCCTTCTGCTTTAGCCTCAAGTCTGGGCTCAGAGGTGTGTACTACCGCACTCAGCTCAGATCTGCATTTTAAATCAAGAACTTAAGATGCTGAAGCTTACTCAAGGAAGTAAACACTGTTGGCCATCAATGTTATATTAAAATTAATTTAAATTTAAAAAGCTAAAACTAATCATTTTGCTTTATGATATTTGTTGTTACAACTAGATATCTCCCTTAAAAATGAAAACATATTCCTGAAAGAAATGTACATTAAATAAATATAATCTTACCTTTTTTAAACCACTATTCAATTATATTTAACTATTCCCTAGAAATTCCCTGACCTAAAATTTTCCTTATGCATTTAAAAGAAGCACCTCTAAAGGTTTCATGCCCAGTAAGGCATCTAAGCATCTAGAATCAGCATGTGGTGAGTTAAACGGTAAGACAACCAGAACTAAATTAAAGAAAAATCAGCAAAGTTGTGTGTGAAAGAACTATAACACAGAAGGAATCTCTTTAAGAAAGCCATCACTGTAGGTGTGCCAATCACGTTAAATTTTATGTTTGTTTTGTAATTATACACACACATTCGCAAAGGATGGGGAATGGAGAAAATCATCCAGGAATGAATTTCAGGGGCTGGGAGATGGCTCAGTGGTTAAAAGTGGCTGTTCTTGCAGAAGAGCTAGGTTTGAATCCCAGCACCCACATGGCAGCGAACAACCATCGGTACTCCAGTTCTAGGGGATCCGACGCCCTCTTCTGTCCTCCAGGGGCACTGCACAACACAGACGCACTTACATGCAGACATACACATAAAATTAAAAAAATAATAGTAACTTTTAAAGAGTGAATTTCAGGTCTCAGAAGATGTATGATCCTGTATTTGTCCAATGATGCTGATACTGCAAAAGTTCATCCTTTAGAGTGCCATGAAGGAGCTGGGCAAGGTAGCTCACATCTATAACCCCAGCACTCGAGAGGCTAAGGCAGGATGAGTGATGTAAGTTTGAGGCCAGCTTGGGCTACCTAATGAATTAGGCTGGCCTGGGCTACAGAATGAGAGCCCATCTCAAAAAAAAAATCCAAGTTAATTATATTAAAAAATAAAGCTGGGTGTGGTGGCGCATGCCTTTAATCCTAGCACTCTGGAGGCAAAGGTAGGCAGATCTCTGTGAGTTCAAGGCCAGCCTCGTCTACTTAGTGATTTCCAGGCCAGCTGGAGCTACAGGGAGACCCTGTCTCAAAAAGGCCAAAATAAATAAATAAATAAATAAATTAATTAATTAATTAATTAAATTAAATCATAATGTAAAACTTCAGTAAAAAGCTACTGAACAATGACAATTACTGTTAGTTATCTGACAAATTACTTCTTACATTATTTTTTTATTTGTAAGATCCTTCCCGATTTCCCCGTGCTACAGTGCTATTAAAACATCTTTTGGAGCTAAAGAGATGGTTCAGCAGTTAAGAGCACTGGCTCTCTTGCAGAGGACCAGGTTCGATTCCCAGCACCCACATGACAGCTAAAAGCCATCTGTAACTCCGGTTCCAAGGGTCTGATGCCCTCTTCTGAACTCTGTTGGCACTGCACAACACATGTAGGCAATGCACTCATATACGTAAAACAGAAACAAAAATCAAAACAAAAAAATGCCTTTTAAGATATCACTTGTGGGGCTGGAGAGTTGGCTCAGTGGTTAAGAACACTGGTTGTTCTTGCAGAAGACCCAGGTTTGGATCCCAGCACCCACATGGCAGCTAACAACTGTCCATAACTACAGTTCCAGGGGATCTGACAGCTTCTTTTGTCCTCCGGGGCACTGCACAACATGGGTGCACTTACTTACATGAGGCAATACACTCATACACATAAAATAAAAATAATAATTTTTTAAAAAATTAAAAAAGAAAAGATATCACTTGTAGCTGCTACCCTAAATTTTACCATGTGCATAGAACCTTCCCTCTCTGTTATTTTTTATTTGCACACAGCTATCTACTGGCCACTATATTCTAGGAACTGTTCTAGAGATGGGGTACAAAGGGGTAAAAAGCAACAAATGAGCATCTTTGCTCAGCATCTTTTGTCTGCTATCTTAGGACAATTCTATGTAGCAATCAAAAGACATGAGAATTTTCAAGATTTCTGGTACTCTGTCAAAAGTTTCCACAATAATACAGTACAATTTTCTTCTACCACTAGTATAAGAACTACAGATAAAGAATGTGGTTACGGATTACCAACCTGAAGGGCAAAAATAAGAAGCACATCCAATTGGCTCTGCCTATCATTTAAAACTAAGGGTGACAGTTTTGTCCTTTGCAATGCCTTCCAATTTAAATAAAAAATAAAGAATATTTGCCTAAATCTCAACGTAGTTATCTTAAATACTCACTCTTCATACACATCTAACACTTTACTAGAATGTGTCTGTTTTCTTTTTTTTCCCATTCTAGTTTTGGGGATGGAATCCAGGGCCTTGCCTGTGCTAGCAAGCGTTCTACCACTGAGCTATACCTCTATCCCCAAACAATTTAATCTCAAAATCTGCAATCAATTCAGGACAGGGCAATTTCTTACTAGGAAAACTAAAAAGCTTGCATGGGTTTGATGGGTGACAAAGCTCCTTTATTCCACTCAAGGCTCAGTCGGAGCTGTCACTAAGAGTAGATTAAAGTCAAACCTGTAACAGAAGTCAAACTTTAATTTTCATATAGAAAAAAATCAAGTTAGCTTATATCCCATGAAATTCTATAGTAAATATTTGGCTAACAAAAGTTACTATTATGGGGCTGGAGAGATGGCTCAGCAGTTAAGAGTATTGGCTGCTCTCGCAGAGGACCTGGGTTCAGATCCCAGCGCCCACATGGCTGATGTCCTTTTCTGGCCTCCACAGGCCACTGTACACACACAGTGCACTCACATACATGCAGGCAAAACACTGATACACATAAAAATAAACCAAAACCAAAATTTTTAAAAGTCAGTATCAGCTACGGACTTCCACCATTATTTATGCTATTGGCTGCTCTCGCAGAGGACCTGGGTTCAGATCCCAGCGCCCACATGGCTGATGTCCTTTTCTGGCCTCCACAGGCCACTGTACACACACAGTGCACTCACATACATGCAGGCAAAACACTGATACACATAAAAATAAACCAAAACCAAAATTTTTAAAAGTCAGTATCAGCTACGGACTTCCACCATTATTTATGCGTTTCTAATCTGTTTGTATCTGATTATTACTAGTCATAATCGGTTGCACTCGGGTCCTTGGTGCCTGTGTATGTCTATAAAGTCATTGGGTAGATTTCAATGGTAATGTTGATCACCTCTACTAATTAACATGATGTAAATTTTTATGCTTCCTCCTCAAATATAATACTTTTTATTTGTTGATTTTTGTGTGTGTATATCATATAGAACATCCCAAACAATCTTATTCATCTATATACCCACTTCCCAATTGGCACCCTCCCATAGCCCCCCCCCCAAACTGGAATTTATACATTCTGTCACTTTTGTTAAGGCCTATTGAGTCAAGTTGGTGCCACCAGATGTCCCTCAGGGCAATTTCTACTCAGCCTATCTGGAGTTCCTCCCGTTAAGAAGTTCAGCTCTTTCTCATCCAGTGGTAATCAGCTGTCAATAATTTTTCAGCTAAAATTGAGGCCTGTTGTCCACTTCCCTAGTTATGTGCTGGGTT